ATAAAGTTACTGAACATGTTCAGCAACTTATAGAAGATCAGAATGCGCCTTGGTCAATAGTGGCTTTTAGTAGTGACGGCAATGAGGCAGGCAACAAACTTTTTAGACATTTTAGAAAAAATCTCTCCCGACATGCGCGGATCTAGAGGGGGTTAAAAAATGTACAGAATTTAGAATTTATTTATTCAACCAATTTGGGCCCACAGTGGAGCATACAGAACAGTGTCCAAAATCATCACAGTTATACATATACAAAACAGAACAAAACAAACATTGTATAATGAACAGAGAGTTAGCTATCCTCTTTTAGGATGTATAGAATATACATTATACATACATATATATATATATATATATATATATATATATATATATATATATATATATATATATATATATATATAATATCTGCAATATGCCTATATTGAACTATGTTGTTTTCTCTTATCAAAATTTGCATTTATAAGTTGGCATAATAAAACAACAAACTCAGAATCTTCATTTGACATAATCCATGTAAACAGGTCAACATTGTTAAGCAGTATCAAATTAGGAAAGGTTTTAAAGATTTTATCTAAAAACTCTCTTCTTGAGTCATTATAAAGTGGACATTCTAGCAAAAAATGCAATTCATCCTCAGTTGGACTTGAGGTTCAGTAACGACAGATTCTCTCACACCTAGGAAGAATTTCATTTTTACCACATTTATTAAGTTTCCTTTCATATCTACCCGTTTCTACCCTTAAACAATGATTACTAATTCTGAATTTTGTGAGAACTACTCGATTGTCTCGGTTTTTCACATTCAAGTATTTTTCAAAATAAAAAGACCTGTATTTAATTTACCAAAGCCTTCCAACTAATTGGTACGAATATCGTTCCAAGTGTTTAAAAAACTATTATGTAGTTGTCTTTTCATGTACAATTTAAATTTGTTTTCACTTAGTTTTTTACAAAGGGACAAATTAATAATAAGTTTTTCACTGTAGAATAATATACTGGAGTACCAATCACTGTTGATGATGTTTGATTTGCACTCATTGAGAGCTGCTTTCAGTAGGTTAGATGATGTATGTTCTAGTCTATACCAGTGCATGAATATTTGCTTTAACATGTCTATATATAATGGGTACCTCCGTAGTTCAGAATAGATTCCTACATTTGTACAATATTTAGATACACCCATAATGTATTTACAGAATATCATATTGAGTTTTTCAACTTCACAATCTTTAAATATATCAAAAAGAGGGATATTTTTCCTTTTTGGAGTAACATTAATAATGCTCCTGTTCTCACAGCCGTATAAAGCTATAGGTTTAATACAGTGATCAAATATATATAAAAGTTTTTAAGGAGGGGTTAGCATTTTTTACATCCCTATAGAATTTCAAGCATGCCTTTAAACGTTTCTGATACAGTTGTTTTTTGGCTTCAGTAAACTTTCCATTGTTTTCATGAGTTATCCCTAAATATTTATATTGTTTTACACATTCTGTAATGTCATTACCAAGTTGGAATGCTTCCTTCAGTAATTTATCAGAGTTATTAAAAATTATTACCTTTGTTTTTTTATGTTTTTTTTTAATGTTTATGATTTTCGACTTTGGGCAATTTTCCTTTTTCTTTTCTTTTTTTTTTTCCTTTTTTTTTTTTGCTTGTCAATTTTTTCAGGTAGGTAAAAAAAAAATTCAGTGGCTGCCCCCCCCCCCTTTCAAAATCTATGCTACGGTCCTGGCAAGTACACCAGAAACTGCACCGTCTGAACACAGAAAAACTCCCAGAACGGCCAGACCTTGCGGACACCTTCAATTTATTCACGACCTACCTTGATTCAAAACTAGAAAGTTTGAAGGAGGAAATTTCAGTTTCTGTTAAAGATATCGATACCATTACTAAATCTACTAAGCGAGAAGTCGCGGTAAAATTCAAACACAAAGGCAACAAAATGCAGTTTAATTTTAACTCTTAATTTACTGTGTTATTTGTCGAAGCTGCAGAAGCGTATTTCAGACTGTACAGTTCTGGAATTAGCAACAGGGCTAATTAATAAGCTCAACCACAGAGACAAGTTGATTAGAATAGCAGACAAGTCCTCTGGTGGTTGGACGACAGTCAGAGAATATGAGAGCGACGAACTTGCATCAGAATTTGAGAATGAAAAAACGCATGCGCCAGGCGGAGAACCGCGCCCTACGGACCATCAAGAAGAAGCCGTGTTCAACCCTACCAAAAACCAACTGCGACCATAACTAGCTCTAATAGTAAGATGTTTCCTGCTCCATCTCACTCCTTTCATAATTTCAAATTTAAACAATGCAATGAGCCCTCTGCCCTTGACACATGCTTTAACTCTCGTCAGTGTGGTCACTGGAAATCAGCCTGTCCAGCTCCGCTTAGACAGAATGGCTCAAACGATAACGCAAGCGCACATCAAACGGAAAGTAGTAAAACTGCTCATGAGCAGTATGTATCTTTTTCTTCTTATTCACTCTTGTACGATCAGATATTTACTTTTTAATCAGATTGCCTATTTTGATAAAACACCTATCATTATAGGTAAAGGAGTTAAGGGCAATCTGCGCAAACATATTCAGTTTTGGGAATCTAGTGGTGCTCATAAATGGGTCTTAAATATTATAAGGGAAGGATATGTTGTTCCTTTTGAAAGTGTTCCACCTACTATGTATTTCAAAAATAATAAATCTACTAGAGATAATGCTGGATTTGTACGTTCAGAGCCTTTGGAGATCGGATGCATTCAGGAAGTCCCATTTCAGCCTCACGTAGTCAGTCCGTTGAGCATCGCTGTCAATAAAGGCTCTGGTAAAAAGAGGTTGATTTTAGATCTAAGTCAATTAAATCATTACGTTCAGAAAAGAAAGATAAAGTTTGAAGATTGGAACAATGCTATAGATTTTTTCAGAAAAGACTTTTTTAAAATACAAATTTGATCTTAAATCAGGGTGTCACCACATCTCTTTGTAAACAACTGACATATTTTTCCTTTTCTTGGGATAACAAATTTTATTGCTTCAACGTTTTGCCCTTCGGCCTGATTTCGGCTCCTTATGTTTTTACAAAATGCCTGAGACCTCTTAAGTACAGGAGAAGCAGCGGAATAGACATAATTTTATATCTAGATGATGGCTTTGGTCCAGATTTTCAGAAATGTTTGCAGAATTCTAATTTTGTCAGAGTTAATTATTGATAAATTAATGTTGAAAAAATCTCTTTTTTTCAGCCCGTGCAGTATTAAGAGTGGCTTGGGTTAACTTGGGAATCCACATCCTTTTCTTTAAGCATTCCATCAAGAAGAATTAAAGATACTATTGATTCTATATAATATCTTATTGATAGATTTTCTAAATTTACTGTAAGTGAATTAGCAAGAGCGGCAGCCAAGACCGTTTGTATATAGGTCCCTGTTTCAACGGACGAGAACACTCGAATTTAAGTAACTATCTGGTGGAAATGATGAAAGTGGAAAGTATACTTTTATGAAATATATCAATTATGAACCGCAAGAATTTATACAGCGACAATGATTATCTTGATCATGATCAAGATCATTTTCATGTATCCGAGTAGTATAAGGGGTCTAGATAGATACTCATTCTGATTGGCTGAGAGAAATCACGTGATCAATTCTGATTGGTGGAGGGGAAAAGGGGGGTCAACTGAGTGGAGTGCTAACCCTAACCCCCTATCCCTAACTAGCCCTAACTAACCCTAACCCCCTAACCCTAACCCTAACTAACCCTAACCCTAACCCTAACTAACCCTATCCCCTAGCCCCCTAACCCTAACCCTAACCCTAACCCTAACCCTAACTAACCCTAACCCCCTAACTAACCCTAACCTATTCCCTTAAATACTGGAGTTGTTTACACAGTGTTTTTACATTGGTACGTAGGTACTACGTTTTTTTATGCTGACTACACAGGTAAATACTTGGCAGCGATTCAAGTCAGGGGACCGTGTGTAAAAAATATGCTGACTATACAGGTAAATACTTGGCAGCGATTCAAGTCAGGGGACCGTGTGCAAAAAATATGCTGACTACACAGGTAAATACTTGGCAGCGATTCAAGTTTGTTTAGGACCGTGTGCAAAAAATATGCTGACTACACAGGTAAATACTTGGCAGCGAGCCAAGTTTGTTTAGAGCCGTGTGCAAAAAAAAAATATGCTGACTACACAGGTAAATACTTGGCACCGATTCAAGTTTGTTTAGGACCGTGTGCAAAAAATATGCTGACTACACAGGTAAATACTTGGCAGCGATTCAAGTTTGTTTAGGGCCGTGTGCAAAAAAAAAAAAAAATGCTTACCTATGCATTGTGACGTCATCCATGTCAGCGAGCTACCCTATACATTATGACGTCATACACTTGTAAAATTAAAGTTTCATTTTCACTTTTGTTTCTAAGAAGTCAACTTAGATTTTCAAAAAATGTAAGACTATCTTTTTTTTTCCTCTCTTTTACTTTGATGATTTTCCTACTGTGAAGCTTTCCATGTATAAAGCTCAATTTTTCCATGACCACGGAAGTAAACATCCTGATGCATTCTTGTCATGTGAATGTTGAGAGCGTGTTCATTTTTGAAATCTCCTTTCTGACAGACCTATTCCACAGGTAAGTTTGTCTTATTTTTGTTTACATTTCCTATATGAAGGTCATCTTTGTATTTAACCATGATTATGTAAAGTTCTGTTTTGAATGTAAATACTATATTTATCCTCATTTCATGTGATTTACAGTTGTTTAGCCTGCATGTAACTCAGAGTGCATTTAATAATTCTTTGATGGGTCATTCTATGATTGAATTTCAATCAGAAAAATGTTCACTAAATTTTGGTAAAATACATGGTATCTTTTTTACATTTCTATCCCTTTTGTCTGTAAATTATTGCTTTACTTACATTGTAAAATGAGGTTAATTGTGTATCACTGAATTGTATGATTTTTTTTCAGGATCAGCTGAGTTGTAATCAATCACTGGATTATTTAATGCATAGGCTAATTGGGCATATAGTTGAATATCTCTGGTAAGTTTGTCTTGTTTTCTTTAATTGTTTATACATTTCCTATGAAGGTCATCTTTGCATTTAAGCATGATTATATGGTTAATTTTATTACTGTGTAATACTTATGTGATCTGTTGTCTCTAACTTACATTCATATAAACACACCCTTATTTAACCTAAAATATATTAACCCATGATTAAGGGATCTTCAGAATATTAATAAGTCCTTTTGTATAAATTATATGATATAATTTCATAATTCATTATGTATGTTACCCATGGCCATGGAATTCAGACTTACTAAATGGTGATCAAAGAGATATTAATTAGGAATCTAATAAGAGAAAAGGAGGAATTTACAAAAGATTAATCCTAAGTCATTTACTTTTTTGTTTTGATTCTAAATATGTGCTATATATGGCATACATAATCATTTCATTTTCACTTTTGTTTCTTAAGCTTTTCAAAAAAAAAATGAAGGACTACATGTTGTACTGTGATGATGTAAAAAAAAAATAAAAATTTTTTTTTCTGTATGCATTACTGATAGCTATTAAACCAAAATTGAATCTGCTGTTAATAAAAGGTCTTTTAGTGTCTAAATAATTAATTTGATAATCATTTTATTTTGTGATATTAATACATTAGTTGTGCTTGTTTATTATCTATAAATAACATGATGAACTTTTCTCATCTCGAGTTAATGTTAAAAACAATTAGTTTTGAGTCTAAAAACAAATATTTTCATGATCTTTTTTTTGACATTGTACATGTTGTATTTAAACATGCATTGTTTCATACAGTACTCTGTCATATTTAAAAAAATGCTTTTATTTCTACAGTCATCAACATGGAATGTATGACTTCATCTTTTATACAGTCGGGTTCGGGGTTTCGGGCGGCCATGACGAATTTCGGCAAGATTTTACCCCAGTGAAAAAGGCTTGTAATCCACAGTGTAGGTCTTTTAAAGTTGTTTCACATTGTTTATGATTGTGATTATGTTATCACTCACCTATATGTTTAATGTTAGCTATGCTAAATAACCCATTTCTGTGTAATTTGAGAGAATGTTTTTGTCATGTGCTTAAAGTATGGCCTGCTATTCATGTCATCATTTAAAGTCGCTTCTCAAATAAATCTGTCTTAAAAAATACATTTTACAAAAGACATTTAATATGATTAGAGTATAGGTATCCAAATATATAAGAGATATTATTTTGCATTACATATATAAGAGGCATTGTCTCATGTAATTTAAATCATAATAACAAAAATGGAATTTATTTTTCTATACAGTCCTCAACCTGGAAGATATGTTTTGTTCCTAACCATCTATAATCCATTCTCTATGAAGTGAAGCCTGGCTGCTCTTCCTTTGGAAATACACAGTTAGTCAATCAACATAGAAACACACAAACTTGAAGGTAAAGTTTCAATGAGATACAATTGTAACTTTTATTTATTTATTTATTTTTTTTGTTACATATGCATGTTTATATTTTTGAATTGATAAATAAATGATATATTTAAATAAAGAGGGCTTGGTGGTCATGGTCATGTTTAAACCATATTGATATCCTTCACAAGAAAAGGCATAAAAATTCATGATCAAATTTTAAAACTAAAATGTATGAAGTTTTTCTGTGCCAAATGATAGTTAACAGCTAAAGATAGCATATCTATAGAATAAGTTAAATATGGCTAATTTGTTAACCCCCAGTTTCCTTAATAGCATAGTTGGTAAAGATAGCAAGTTTTCACTTCAATTGCTGGTGAATTCTGAATTTTCCATTTAATATTAACATTATATCACAGGGAAAGAATACTATAATGTGGTTCATTAGGATGACCAGAAAAGAAATCTTAATGACCCTTATGACTATGTATAAAGTCTGTAACCTTATAACTGATGTAAGATGACCTGATTGTTTGGAATTAAAATTTCCTGGTGTTTCTATTACCCAAGATCTTCTTATGAGTGCATGGGACTGTTGTAACCCTTCTCCTGTTTATAAAAATAATACCTTGGAGCATGACACTTTATTCATTTAAGGTACTTTCAATATCATTTCTATGAGTTTGTGTTCTTTTTCTTTTTAATAATCTAGTGTTATATCTTCTTTACCCTAATTAATATGCATGCTTCCAAAATCATTATAGATCTGTCTGTATAGTTTTTTCAGCTCTTTGAACACAAATACCCTGATTCAAACTTTTGAGGTAAACATCATGGAGACATCATAAATGATTATCAGAGTGTATATATCACAATCTTGACCATAAGGTCAATTAAAATGGTCAAAAGCACAACAAATGAAAGTGAAAACTTTCTTATCAGAATACATAATTTTGTAATATTAATTCTTACCTTCTTTTGGTAATAAATGGTAATATTCTTCATTAGCCTCTTCTGCAATCAAGGATCTTTCTATGTAATCTCTGACAACATTAGGATCACCCTTTTCTGGACATAATTGGTTATATTCTTCTTGAGAAATGATCTCAATAATGCTATCTTTTTTTTATTTTAACTGGTATACCTCTGTCTACATCTTTCTCTGAAAGAACTCTCTTTTCAAACTGAATTTTACTCATTCCTTTACTCTTTTCTTTACTGGAGGTGTTACCCATGGTTAATATGAAAAGTCAAAATCTGATGTTACACCTTGTATTTATACCCTTTTTTGTCTATATTTAGAATTCCATCAAGCTTATATTACATAACAAATTTTTTTTTTTTTTTTTTCAACTAAGACATTATTTTTATTTTCCAGGATATTCTAGTGAGGGCTTATGGAAATGATCTATGTCTACTCTCAGAATGGTGAAAGACTATCAGATTATGCAAAGACTAACAGGATATCCTCTCTTGGAACACTGAAATAAGAAAATCAAACAGGAGGTGGATGGAGGATTTAAGAAGCACAGGTGAAAGACTATCAGATTATGCAAAGACTAACAGAATATCCTCTCTTAAAACACTGAAACAAGAAAATCAAACAGGATGGAGGATTTAAGAAGCACATAGATAAATATGATTTCCAACCAATTTAAGTACGATCATAGACTGTGCTTTACAGGATGACAAAGAAAGGACCCAGGATAGTATCTTTTACTGTCAGACACTGACTATGGATAAGATGTAGCCATTTATGAAACTGAGATCTAGTCAAATCAAGTATTGAGAACATGATTTTCTGATAACATGAATTTATTCTCACCAACTTCAAAGTATCTATATTTATTTTTTTTTATTATTATATATATATATATATATATATTATTATATATATTATTTATTATATATGTATTTATTTTTTTACTAACTCATATTGAAGACAGTTGTTATGTAAGAGAAGTATACATTTAAACCTTTTATTTTTCATCTTATTTCTATAACCCCTAACAAATTACACAGATGATTTAGAAGCTAGCTTTGCTGTAATTATTACTTTCATGGAATGGTAAATACATTTTGTTTGTGTATGTGTATCCTATTTTGAATTTAAAATTGGTCTCAATAGGACCCCCTAAAGATGCAAGTGTCCCCTAATCTGTGATGTAATAATATCTTGAATATTTTTTATCATCCCATAGACTTCATGCTTACTTCACAGAACAGGTTAGAGTAATGCACTTAGTTTTCTAGGACACTTCATCAGGGTCAAAGCATGAGATTATTGATTCAGAGATAACTACCTTTGAAAATAATTTGTAACATACAAACTTCACATCATAAGTAAAGAAAGATTCAGAGATTTTCTATAGATTTTTGGATCATTTTTTTTTCATGGGTTATATTTTCAGTTGTTGTAACTTTAACAATTTGTGATAACCTAGAGACTTTTTTATCAGCTTTATTGGGTGGCATGGCATATTCTTTGGTAAATCATATGCACTATGTTCAAGGATGTTTAAAGACTATGACTATGTAATACCTTAGAATTCTATTAAAATCTTAATATCACTGCATAGATAAAAACTGGTTGGAATAATACATGTTGACAATAATTTGCAACCTACAAACTTCACATCATAGTAAAGAAAGATTCAGAGATTTTCTATAGATTTTTAGATCATTTTTCTCCTGGATTATATTTTCAGTTGTTGTAACTTTAACAATTTGTGATAACTTATAGACTTTATAAAAATTAGGTGCAAATTCTTAGGAAAAGATTGAAATGTTAATCAAATGTACATGTTCAAGTGTGTATAAATGATTATTACTATGTAATACCTTAGAAGTCTGTTAAAATTTTATTATCACTGCATAGATAAAGACTGGTTGGAATAATTTATGTTTTGAAATAAGGTTTAGGGAAAAAAGTCAAGACTGTGGATATGACTTTTATTCAAATGGTGCAGTACAGCAACTCTGGTGATTTACATACCTTCAGTCATAAATAGATAAGTATTGGGAAGACTCCTCTAGATTTTGAAATTTTTAATTCAAAAGTATAGAACTTTTTTTTTTAAGTTTGAAAGATTAAATGGCAGCATATCATTTGCTTGTGAATTTAAAAAATAAATCCAAACACATACATCTTTGGATGATAATTATATAATTTTATCAATTCCTGGACTTCGGTCTTGATATCATCCTTTAATGTCCTTAAAATTTTAATGACTGTCTTTTAGTTTTAGTTGAATTAGGTTTCTTTTCTACATGTGAAAATGAAATCATCCAAAGAAGTTCTTCATCTGCATGTTATATGAAAATGACAATTTTCATCACAGTGAAAGAGATTGTTTTGTTAAACATATTGCATTGATGCACAAATATACTTTTAGATTTTTAATAGCTAGGGTTTATATTTCTTTATATGGAATGCTAAGTACTGTTGATTTCATTTTTTTGTGAACAAAGATATACTAGTAGAAAAAATGTACATGATGTGTCAGAAAAGCATGTGTAAACCTGATGACTTTATCATTGCTGATTAAATCAAATTATGAGTTTCATCTTTGTTACATTGTAAACATTTCTAAGTAGGGCACACACCAGAAACTCTTAAAATTATTATATCAGGGTTTAACACAACAATTTCAAATGATTTTTGGACGCTTTTCATGTATCAGAAAGACAAAACAGAATGTTTGTTCACAGATGTTCCAAAGGAAAACAAACACAAAGAAATGATTTGTAATGTTCTTTATGTGATTCATGTAAAATGTATTTTAAAAGTGTACCCTAACATTTATCTTTTGCATTTATATTTTTGTAAAGAATTTCTCATAACTTTGAAAAAGTAGTCTAATTGTATAATATGGGTAGCTTAAAATCTAGTAAACTTAAAAGTTGTACATAATATGTTACACATCTTACATATGTAACCATTTCATTTCAGGGTTTTTCAGCATATATTGTAGTTTTGTCTTAAATTTGTTTGCTTATGTAATCAATAATTTGCTAATACTCAAATTAGGAAATATATGAGAGAATAAACAAGAAAATCAGGTTTAAAAAATGTTTTTACTACAAAGGGGTTAATCCATAAGTAATTTCAGTCTATACATTTAAGGTATTGGTTTATGAAATAAACTTACATATGAACATTGTAAGACGATTGTAATCATTAGTTTAACCAGTTTTAAAAAAAATAAATAGATTCACTGTCAGCATGTTATTTCTTGTAAAATAAATGAGAAAACAATTTTATTTGAGTCAGTTTTTTTTTAATGTAAATTAAAAAGCATTGGAAGTTGGGAATATTTCACAAAGTTAATTAATTTATACAAAATTTTTTATACATAAGTGAATAGAATTGGGCAGCAGGCAAAGCCTATTTGAGCCCTCTTCCTAAAGAGGGTAATTGAGCATAATTCTCACTAGGATAGTTGAAATATTTTGATTTAAGCATTAAAGAAACTATTTCATATTGAAATATACAAACCATGTTTAGTCATGCAGTATATAGTTTACACTTGACAAAATGTAAACCTTATCTCTATTCAGGGTCAATCCAAAGGTCAAAAAGTAATGAAAAAAATATTTCTCTTTATGTATCAAACATGCAGGTATTATTGCAATAAATTCACTGTATTCTTTTTTTTTTGTTCTCTTTCTATGTATGAATAGCTCTAATTTAGGCAATCAAAGCAAATGAGTTATGTCAAATGATGAAGGTATACACAAGAAATTAACATGGACAGAGAATTTTGAGTTTCCCTCAAATATGGCTGCCAAGTGATGTGAAATAAAAACAAAATGTGGATTCATCTATTAGGATTGAAACTTGTACATAATATGAATGATGGACACTATGACATTAAGAATGACATGAAAGAAATAAGTTTGATTCAATTATATGAACAGCTCTTAATCCATACAGTCAAAATGGAGGAAAAAATTTTCTTTATTAGGCATAAAGTAACAAACACTCACCCAATACATCAGAATTTTACTTTTTTGAAGAAAAGGAACCTTACTTACTTTGTTGAGTTGACATTCATATTTTTTGTGTTTGACAGGTAGAGCAATGGTTTCTAACTATTATAGTGAGAACTTTTTATTTAAGAGTCATCAGATTGTTCTGATATTTTGGTTAAAATAACTGCATGACATCAAATAATTTGTTCATACAAAGGACTAAAAGATTTTCCAGGTTTCTTCTTTAGTCAGATTAAATAGTGTTCAACTAATATGTTCAAAATACATTATACAAGATAATCATCCAAGTTACACAAAGGTAAACAAATGACCTTATTATGTTTTAAGTCAAAAGGTCAAAAGTGAGGAGGATATCTGCTATATTTAATAGTTTGGTTAATATTCATCAAACTTCATGAATAGGTTAATTAAACAAGCTTCATATATTTTGATTATCAGATCAAAGATCAGCACACTTTTTGCGATACCATTGTTGTCTATGAATATCTTAACACCTCTATTGATTTTTCAGATTAAAGGTCAATGTGTTCCTGCTACAGTAAAACTTCATTATAAGGATATCAGAGTGATTTGTTTAGTTGTAAGAAATTAGTTATAAAATCTCCCACTCTTTCTATAATATGTCACTGAATGGGCTCCTTCATTTTAAAGAATTTTACAAGCAAATCATATACTGACTTTTAATCCTTCAAAACACAATATGTATATTAAATCTTGAGATTGAGATTTCAGCCTTTTAGGATTTCAGACTCTCAGGCTTTCAATCTTTAAAAACTTTCAATCTTGAGGACTGAGTATTTTCATATTTATTTTGTAAGTCTTGTCTTTTATGTCATTACGATTGATCCTTAGTAATTTAAACTTTTTCATATTTGTAAAACCAGAGTGTGAAAGTATAGTGTTTGTGTAATCTTCTAAATGTTTATCCATAAATACTGCTTTTAATACAGTCAAATATAATTTGTGATGATCAAAATTTCCAAATTGCCTGACCTATACATATTTAGAATTTCAATATCATACACTCTTGAATATTTATAAATATCAATATTTTGATTAAGCATTAGCTATCATCCATACACTTGTTAACCTAAGGAAGGCTCTTATCATAAGTTAAACTCATGAAATTCCTCATGCAATTTTGAAGAATCTCTGTTATAAGGGATGGTAAAGACAAAAGACCCATAAATTTCCAAGGAGTAATAATATTCAAAAATATATATCCACATTAAATTAAGGAACATTTGAAGAACTCCTTTTCTTTATAACTCATGACATTTCATGTAGATAGTGGCTATAATGTGTAAATAATCTTTATGAAAAAAGGATGGTGTAAAGTTAGCCTCACCCAACACCCAAGGGAGAGGGGAGGAGGGGTTGAACCCTTCTTTTTGTCCAGGAAACCTGAATTTTAAAGTTAAAAAAAAATTATAAAATTGAATTAAATTTGTTTTTAAAAAAAATTATAAGATTGAATTAAATTAATTTTTCATTTCCTTTTATTCATTTATTTTTTTTATTAATTGAAAT